TCTCTTGATCCTTAACCATCAATCCTGCTTCCTCTGTCTGCTTTTTTAATGCCTCCTTCCTTTCAGCTAATCATTTAAGTTGTTTTAAGGGGTTTGTGGGAATAAAGATAATTTCCCATAAACACACAGCAGCCAGTGTAAATAAAAGGCAGGCCAACCATAACCAGAAAGACTCAAAGGAATACAGAGAAGTGAGCTGTTGCCCTGAAATTCTCTCTGACTGCAGTCCAAATCCTCTTACCTTTGCCTGAAAACCAAGCTTCTCCAACTGGCATATGAAATACTTAAACCCTAATACTTTTTTCACAAATGCAGGGAGGAATGAAAAAGTCTTATTTAGACTGCCTACAACAGCCATAAATTGCAATATCCACAGATGAGAGAAGGATCCAAAGTCATTTAAAAAGAATTTAGCCTTTTATAAGCCAGAACCTTTGCAGGTGATGTCTGGTAAAACAATATTGAAGCAACAATGTTAAAACAATTTAGGACCAAGGATTCTTTTGATTAGTTTGTTTTTAATTCTATAATGTATGTATTGTGACTGGCAAAGTAAGTATATAAATGTATTTTTAAGCCTTAAACTTCTCTATATTTTGTCACTGTAGAAATCCCCATGCATTTAGGACTTTAGTTAACTGACCAACTCAAAATAGTACATTGTTGTATAGGAAAGAAAATTATACTGTAATTATAGCAGTGGGTCTTTTAGGGTGATTTCTCCACAAGCTGTGTACATCTAGACAGAGTATTTGCAAGTTCTTTGGAAAATATGTAAATGTCTGTCTGTCTGGTTTGATAGTAGCTCTGAATATTGTCACTGCTTGCCACAGATTGTTAAATTGCTAGAGCTCTGTTTCTGGCTTAGGCAATGCTCAGCACTGGTTTTATATTTAGAGTTAAGCCTCTGCCCAATAACAATATTACTACTTAAAATTGTGATGCTGATAATAGTAACAACAAATCCACATTTACCCCCTGTCTTCATAACCTTTCTTTCAGCCCTCTCTGTGATCTTCAGTATATTGGGAATTTTAACCAGGTCAGGTGATGGCTTCTATGGCAGATTTAACACGTTACATATAAAATGTACATGCAAAGCGTATACTTAAGTACACTAATATGAGTACAATATTCCAAACAATCCTTTTCAACAATAACACTTGTCACACTAATGATGAAATCAAAATATATTTTGTGATGTGTTTTCCAGACTTTATTCTCATAAAATGACTCTATTACCACAATGGATGGGGTGGTTATATTAAGAGAGATTTTTTGTCATAAATAAACCAAAACCCAAATGTTCTTATGTTGCCCTACCCTCTGGTTTGTCGCATTCTGTAACCTGGACAAGTTTGCTCTTGCAACTCTCCACTAAAAGCGAGCTGTGCAATCAACAGATTCTGCCACATGAGCTTTTTATCCCTGCAGCTCTTCTAGAGTTAGAATACAGCTCCTGGTTGCTTCTCCAAATAATATTTTGTTCTTCAGACTTGTACATTTTGACATTACTCTGCACTTTTTGGTTTTGTTTAAGTTTTCTTTTTTGGGCTTTCAGTTTTACTTTGTTTCATGTTTTTCTGCTTTTTATAGTTTATTGGTTTCATTTCAATTTTGTGTTATTCTCTTATTTTTTATTGTAATTTAGTTCTTAGGTATTGCTTGCCCTCTGCTGCCCTCTTGTGTTAGTCTCTTTTCCCCTAGCTCCCTTCTAGACTGCTCTGTCCACACCTGCTCCCAATCTGCTGATTAGCCTGGCCTTTGTTCAGTCTCCCATTTATACACCTCATGCTCAGTCACTGTTTTCTGTTTTTTTTTTTTTGGTGCTTTGTATTTTTTATTTTTTTAGATGTCTGCCTTATTTTTTTTTTCATTAAACCAACAAGAACTCATCTCTGCTTCACTCACTTCTGCGTTTGGGTCTTCAAGCAACCTCAACCCCCTAGTTTACGCATTTTGGTTCAAGGTTCAAGGACCTTTTTTCCAGTCAGATCATTTCTGTTTGTATATGATGTACCGTATGTTTCATATCATGCTTTGTTAGATGTTCAAAACTTGGGATATTTTTGTTAGTTTTATAACTTTATCCATAACTTATCTGGTATCTTTCTTGATCATCCTAAGGCTTTTTTTTCTCTTATGTACCTTAACCGACATCTGAGACCAACAGAACAATTGTATTGACATTCTTATTATGTTAAAACACAGGTCAGACTATATGAACTTAAGGGGTATCTGAATAGCGAGCGCTAAATTGCTAAACCAACAGTTAAAGAGTTCCGAGTGTGGTCTGAGGCCGCCATGGAGTCACTCCAAGACTGTTTTGAATGCTCTGACTAGAACATCCTCAATGCTGCAGCAACATATGACAACTTATTAAATATTGATGAGTATGCTATGACTGTGTCAGCCTACATCAACAAATACATTGAGGACGGCAGCATCAAAAAGAACATCACCACCCAGGCCAACCAACCACCCTGGATAAATTGAGAGGTTCGGAAATCGCTAAAAGCATGGAACTCAGCTTTCAACTCTTGTGATAAAGACGCACTGAGAACGGCGTGTGCCAACTTAAACGTGCCATCAGATCAGCAAAGCAGAACCACAGCCAGAAAATCCAGTTTTTTTTTGGATGATGACAGCAACACCAGGAGGATGTGGAAAGGCATTCGGATGATCACGGACTACAACACAGCCTACCTCCCTGGTAGATGCAGCAAACACTGACTTCCTAAATGAAATTAACAACTTCTTTGGAAGGTTTGAGGCCCTAAACAGCCTCCAGCAGTGAAAGCTGTTCCACACCAGGGGGAGGAGGCACTAAACCTGGATGTAGCTGAAGTGAGGAAAACTCTGAGGAGAGTCAATCCAAGAAAGGCCTCAGGGGCTGATAACATACCTGGGCGGGTGTATAAGGAGTGTGCAGATCAGCTGGCTGGTGTCCTCACAGACATTTTTAACACCTCGCTGGACCAATCCATAGTGCCAGCATGCTTCAAGTCTGCCACCATTACTCCAGTCCCAAAGAAGCCTCAGGTCAACTCACTCAATGATTACCGGCCTGTCACACTGACTCCAATCATGATGAGTTGCTTCGAAAGGCTGGTTAAAGTCTGCCGCAAACATTCAACCCGTTCCAGTTCGCCTACCGACGGAACCGCTCCACTGAGGATGTCTTCTCTGCTGCTCTCCACCTGAGCCTGGCAGACCTGGAGGAGAAGAACACCCACATATGGATGCTGTTCCCGGACTTCAGTTCAGCTTTCAACACCATCATCCCACAGCATCTGATGGGAAAACTGGAACAGCTGGGCTTCAATACAACCCCTTAAAATTGGCTGCTAGACTTCCTCACAAACAGACCTCAGTCAGTCTGGGTGGGACAGAACATCTCTGATGTCATCATCCTAAGCACAGGCTCCCCTCAGGGCTGCGTCCTGAGCCCCCTGCTGTTCACCCTGATAACACATGACTGTGCCCCCAGGTTCACCACCAATCACACAGTAAAGTTTGCAGACGACACCACAGTGGTGGGCCTCATCAGTGATGACAATGACCAGGACTACATAGAGGAGATGGAGCAGCTGGTGGACTGGTGCAAAGATAACAGCCTGATCCTGAACTAGGAGAAGACAAAAGAGATCATCTTGGACTTCAGGAAGACTCTGCCTAACCGCGCTCCACTGGGCATCAACAGCTCAGCTGTAGAAGTGGTCAATAGCACCAAATTCCTGGGGGGTGCACATCACAGACACGCTCATCTGGAATGTAAACATCACCTGACTGATCAAAAGGGCACAAAAGCACATGTACTTCTTGCGGAGGATGCGAAGAGCCCACCTGCCCCCACCCAGCCTCACCACCTTCTACAGAAGCACCATAGAGAGCGCTCTGACCAGCTGTCTCACTGTGTGGTGTTGAGGCTGCAGCGCGTCAGACTGGAAGAAGGTGAGAATAGTAGTAAGAACAGCAGAGAAGATCATCGGGGATCCCTGTTTCCTCCATTTAACACATTTCATCCCAGCGCTGCGTGTCCCGAGCCAGTAACATCATGAATGACAGCCAGTCATATGTTTATATTGATTTTTGATGTATTTATTACTGTTTTCAAGGCTGCACTTAAAAAAATGAAATTGTCTAGAGCTGTTTTAAACGAAATTTCTTTTTGTATACATTCATCACAATAACAGTCATCAAATAATTTGTATAAAAAATGACAAAATAAATCTGTCTAAGTCTAAGTCTAAATGCAAGAGAACTATTGCATACCACTGCAATTGTATTCTACTTTTTGGTGATCTGTCACCCCAAATCCTGTGACAAAAACAAATGTTGTGTGACAAAGTGATCAAGGTGTATTACTATATTCAAAGACACTATATATCAGTCTTTTTATTTGATTATCTCTAATTCTTAAACATAATTACAGTTCAATACATCATTTAGTAACTTTTAAAGGTTTGAAAGCCTTGATTGAATCAATAAAACAGTTATTACTATCTTATAATTTACGGAAAATATTGCATAGCATTAGAATTTTCATAACAAAAGAAAAATCCGGCTTACAAAACCATTACTAGTGTAGTTGAAAGAGTAGTTTTTCAGTAAATCACATCACACTTCCTGCAGTTGGCTCAAAATTTACTTTTAGCCCCTAGTAACGCCAGATAAGGTGGTTAAATTCTCAAAATACAGCAAATGGTAAGTGACAGTTTGCAAGTGGAAAAGAACTAATACCTAATATTAATGCCTCAGAAACACGTCATGCAATCATTTCAGCTCAAAAAACGTGCATGGTTCTGTTATAAAACGTGTGTCTAAAAACAACTCATTAAGCTTCCCCTACTAAAGTAAACTGAAGTAAACTAAATCCCTCTGCCTCTGTTGTTTCTGCCAATTATTGAGATTCTACCCAAGTTCATTAAGAGAGCTTTCAAAGTGTGAAATCAGTTAGATGTGTTCTGATGAATGTAGAGTGAAATATAGCTACTGACCTCATTAAAGTAAGCCACTTCCTCGCAGTTCTCTGCTACTCGGCTGTAGAGGGGCAGACCTGACAGATGGAGAAAGAGTTAGAGATTAAAAGGCAGTTGACTTAAAAGTGTGATGATGGCTGAGTTAAGTGGGCAGCCTGGGAAGATTTCTAGAAAACACAAAAATAAGGTAAATAAATGAAATTGTAAACTGTATAAAATACAATTAAGTTTGACTCAAGAAAAATGCAAGAAAAATTTAAATATCGAAGCAAATCTTTTTTCAAAATGAAGATGAGTCCAAACATGCATTTATAGTAAATCAGTATAAACTGACCAAGACAATAGATTTATCCTCCACTTCCTGCTACTCGACAGACAATTGATTAATTAGAGTCCCTTTTCTGTATTTCAATTCCCAAAGCTACACATATGAGGCTGTTTATAATTCAGGACAGATAGCACTGCTGTAGCAGCATTGCAGCTAACAAAGTATTTTAAGCTTTCTGGCCATTTCTTTGGAGTAACATTTTGAGGTGATTGTAAAGCATCTTGAACCCATCCAGATACATGCTGCTATCTTTAAAGGGGGCAAAACTTAATCTAAAATAGAAATTAAACAATTAATCTAATCATGATCAATCAGTTACTGAAATAATCATCCAATAATTTGGAAAATCAATCTAACCATTAACTTGAGTGTACAGACTCTAAAGCATGCCATTGGCTGAAGAAGAAAAAAATCTAAAGCAGTAATTAAGTCCCAACTGTACAAAGATATTAACATTTCCATTTAAGATTAGAAACATTCCTAGCTCACTTCCAGATACAAACCAACCAACAGGACATTGTGATCATTGATAAGCAGCAGAGGACTGTCATGATCTTGATCTGAGGTCTGGTCTAAACACTCATTATAATCACCTGCATATCTCCACCATGTTCTCATTACTGCTCATTTGAGCCACCTGCTTCAGCTTCTATTTAACCAGCCTTCTACCAGTCATCTGTGCCAGCCTGACCTGTCTTTAGACTCTTGCCGGATTTCTACCTGTGTGTTAACCGAACCTGGAACTGTTCCCTGACTCTGTTCTGGATTTCCCTTGGGCACCTTAACAGATCTCTGACCTCCTGGCTCTGACTACAGAGCATTTCATCGACACTGGCTTTGGCTTCGCCCTCTGGATTATCCTGCTTTCCTTCGTCTGGTCTTTTCTGATCTCCTGCCTGTCCTCCGACCACCGAGACACCAGCTTCTGGGACTCTCTGGGTGCCGCCCACCGCGTCTCGTTGGCAGCATACCGGCTGGAGCCAACCTCATCCTCTGGGCCCGGACTGAATTTTAAGACCAGATTAGTGACTCACACGTTCATTATAATCCTCCCCAGAAAGACGTGATCACTAACCTTTGGTCTCCTCCTGCAGAGGTTCCTGCCTTAGACACCAACACTGTTCACAGCAGTTCCAACTTTAATAAAAGTTTTGTTTAATCTAACTGTCTTTCCTCTACGAAAACTGGCCTAAAGGAGGACAGCTGTAGTGATTGATGTGGCCATCGCAAATGGTGGAAATATCAGGAAAAAGAACATGAGAGATTGGAGTATTACCAAGGGCTCTGGGAAGAACAAGAGAGAGCATGGAAGGTAAAGGGAACTGTAGTCCCCGTAGTCATCTGAGCAATGGGGGCAGCAACCTCAGAGATGTGACTTCAACATATTCTTGGAGAAAAATCAGACATCTCAGCCCAGAAATATCCTGCTCTAGCACCCGAATGCAAACACATCTACAAATGTATTAACACCTTAGTTGAATATCTATGACTATCTTATGAAATTAACAAAACACTCTCAAGTAAAGTCCAGTTTGGGTTGTGAATATTAGTATTTTTAAGTTGCAAATGATAAATACCACATCATTCAAATAAATCAGTGTTAGTTTAACTGAGGGTTCTTGGAAGAGAATAACAAAGTTGCTAAAAAATCTATCAAAATGTAAAATAGTCCCTTTGCAATCTAAAATTGCTGATGTATGTGATTAAAGCCAGAAACTGACGATTTAGTTACTTAAGTAGCATACTAAAAAAATTACAAGGAATGCCATAAAAACTGAAAAAAATGTAAAGAAATCTGCCTGATTAACTTTGGAACATAAAGCAAATTAAGAGAAGGTAGTAAATGAAAAAATCAATATGGATTACAAACTGCCCCGGAAGTCACATTTAGTGTTTTTTAATAGCCATGTGTTCTGTTGTTGAAGTGTTCATCAGCTCACTGCACAGCTAACTGATTCCCTTGTGCATGCTGCAGATTGTCTTCACCAGGCTGCTTTGTGCTTTGCTTATGAAATGTCCCACTTTCCTTTGTAGAGTTTATTTGCTTTGAATAAACAAGGGTTAATGTGACCACGTGTGGACAGTCATACTAACTTAAACACACACAGAAATTAATAAAGCTCCCTTTCTTTCCATCTGTATTAATATGTTTGAATAGAAATCCTGGATGCTGCCCAACTCTGACAATATTATGAATGAGAAGGCTTCACAATGTCTTTTTATTCATCGTAAAAAAAAAAAAAACACTTATGAGGTAAGGCACACATATTGGGAAAACAGGTAAAAACATACCAAGCCTATTTCGACTTCTTCACGTTTCATCAAAACAAGCTGCTTTTCATTTTCCTGCAAATGTTCCCTTTTTTGTCACATCTCTATAAAATCCTGTGCCACCTCCTGGATACCCACGTCCCTTTGCAGCAGTTTTTTTTTTAAAACAAAATAAATAGTGCTTTAGAGTCAAAGTGGGAGAAGAGACAACACTCCTCCTACATTATTGATAACAGTGGCCTTTCACTGGAGTGATTTCATCCAACTAAAGTGTGGGTTAAAAAATTATTATGTGAAGCTTATATAAGGTGCTGCAAACGAAACTAAAGAAAACTTTCTGCCAATCAGCTCAAGTTGTCCCTGTTAAACTACAATCTGCCCGATTTCACAGCATTTCCATCCATTTTTAACTCTGTGCTTGAATGACTTATCTATGCCTGCTAAGGAGCTGCTAAGGATAGTGCTGTGTAGGACCTAAATGTGACATCAACAGACTACTGTACTGATTGGTCATAAGTTAAGGGGAAAAGCAAGTTTTTTTGCTGAGGGAGTGCAGGAAAAATAACCCATAACCATACCTGAACCAAAGGAAAAATAAGAAAAAGGTCATGTCATCTTTCTGAATTACAAGTGGCTGCACACTATTTATAAACCTACCCAAAACCAAAGCAGGACGTCAGTCTACAGAAGGCTGCTCTCCTCTGTCTACGTATACTCCTACGTAGAGGCAGAGAGAAAATGCCCACAAGCAAACTGCCTACATAGGATAAAATGCAAGAAATACCCCACTTAATCTGTGCAGTGATGGATTATGGTGACAGGGGTAGAGATTGAAGCGACCTTTATAGGCGTCCACTTCCATAGAAACGTAAAGGCCTAAGTGAGCAAGTGGGAAAAACAAAGAGGAAGCAATCCTAGTATGTAGAACCATATACTCAGGTTCATGCAGTGAGAAATAATCCAATGTTCTTGTCAACAGTTTATGTCCTGTTTTATTACTGTTTAACAGTAGATGGGTGAAATTCCAAATAAGTGCCATTTAACTATGAATTAAATGTCCAGACAGGAAAAAATATAATTAGAAAACACTTCTACAGCATGACAAAGTTATAAAAAGACAAAAATTTTATATGTTTCGACAAGATTGGAGAACTGCAAGACACAAGTAAAGCTGAAGGTTCTCAAATATCTCCTTTTATATATTTTCTTCATTAATCGTTCCACAGAATATTACACATTTAATTAAAGGCTCTGCAGGCTATGGTACCGACCAATGAGCAACGCATACAGAAATGCTGTCCTTAAAAGAAACCGATAACATGAAGAATCCATTACTCGTCAAAAAATCAATTAATTTTTTTGAAGTCTCATCTTAAAGGCAACCTCAGTTTGTCGATTAAATCTATTTTCAGAGATAATTAACTGGTCACTGGTTCGAGAATGCCAGAGACAATTTCAAATTAAGCTCTCATGCACTGATTCCAGTCTTATCTTCTCTTTTATGAATGTAGGCATTAGAGTTGTTCCCTGATACTGTCAATGTGTTGCTTCAACTAAAGCAGAATGTCAGCCTAAATAAATGTTTGATTTTGCATCGCAAATATACAAAAAATACAGGCACAACTCAGTAAATATGTGTTCCATAAGACTTTTTTGGGTCAAACTAAGAGTGCCTGTTAATAACCTTTAAACTGATATTAATTCTGCTTAAAGCATTAACACTGTTCCTCTTTAGATAAAGGGTCAGATCAGACTATACCTGCTAAGGGAACTGAGATCTTTAAGACTGCAGGGTCGTTCCTGAAGACCTAGCTTTACCTCTATGGTGGCATTAGACATTTATGATGGCGTGGCATGTTGAAGCAGCAGCCACTTTGCAGCTAAGAGGAAAAGGTAGGATAAGGTACTGAGGAAGACTCTGTCCTATGATGTCCCCTGGACACAGAGCAGATATTGGGAGACAGAAGGACATTGAGGAAAATAATGTCATGCTTGGACAATATCTTTCACTCTATTCATAAAGCTGTTATGGAGCTGGAGAGTTCACTGAGTGAAAGAGTGCTGCATTCTAGATGTACAATAGACTGCTTCTGCAGACCCCTTCTCCCCGCTGTTGTCAGACTTTATCTTTGCTACCCCCAACAGGCCCAGGAAGTGTCTTCAACCATGCTACAATGGCACAGATTCTTGATATAATCAATAATTATTTGTACTGTTTCTAAATCGATAATGGGAATAGATGTGATCGACTACAGATGTTAGTGGTTTCTTCATTTTTCAAAAAACATTCTTATTGCACAGTTCTTTACAGCTTTCTTTAAATTGTTAATGTATTAGAAATAGAATAGAATTAAACTTTATTTTCATTACAGTGTCACAAGTACAAAGCAATGGAATTAACTCTCTGCATTTAACCCATCCCCTTGGGGAGCAGTATGATGCCATTGTGCAGTGCCTGGGGAGCAGTGTGGGGTTAAG